AGGAAGCTGTAGAGACCGATGAGGCCGCCCCTCAGCCTCCTTTTCTACAAACTAGACAAGCCCAAAGTCCTCACCCGCTCCTCACAGGACACTCCTTCCAGCCCTTTCACCACCAGCTTTCTTGCCCTCCTCTGGACCTTCACATCCTTCTTAAGTTGTGGGGCCCAGAACGGCACACAGTACTCCAGGTGAGGCCACACCAATGCTGAATACTATAAATAATATATGTATATAAATAAAGTGGGATAACCACTTCTTTTGACTGGCTGGTCATGCTGTGTTTGATGCAACCCAGGATGAGGGTTGCCCTCTTGGCTGCCAGGGCACACTGCTGGCTCCTGCTGAGCCTGCTCTGGACCCGCACCCCCAGATCCCTTTCTGCAGGGCTGCTCTCCAGCCACTCCTCTCCCAATTTATACTTGTGCCCAGCAATGTCACACCATTGCTCTGCTTCCACTGACCTGCAAGCACTGAGCTGACCACCTCTGCTGCTGATGGGGTTATCCCTATGGAATTCCTCATCGAGAAAAACCCATCATGGTCATTTTCTGCAAGGTGGGTTTGGTGCCAAAGTGACAGTCTTGAAGAGCCATGCTTGCTGCCCACAGCCCAGCCCCAAGTTAAGGACACTGTCATTGGCTTATATTGTCGTTACAGCCTGTGGCGTTTGCTGGAGCCTCGTTCCCTGCTGACCGGGTCTGAGCGGGTGCCTAAGGTAAGGCAGACACAGCACCAGGTCACTGGTTGAAATCACAGGTACTTTATTATACTCTTAGTCAAACCTTGCTATTAAGGTTTTGGGCCCCTCAGTACAAGAAAGACATTGAGGTGCTGGAGTGTGTCCAGAGAAGGGACAGCTGGTGAAGGGTCTGGAGCACAGGCCTTATGAGGAGCAGCTGAGGGAACTGGGGTTGTTCAGCTTAGAGAAGAGGAGGCTGAGGGGAGACCTTATAGCTCTCTACAACTACCTGAAAGGAGGGTGTAGTGAGGTGGGTGTTGGTCTCTTCTCCCAGGTGACAAGAGACAGGATGAGAAGAAATGGCCTCAAGCTGTGCCAGGGAGGTTTAGATTGGGTATTAGGAAAAATTTCTTCATGGAAAGAGTAGTCAAGCATTGGAACAGGCTGCCCAGAGAGGTGGTGGAGTCCCCATCCCTGGAAGCGTTCAAAAAATGGGTAGATGTGACACTTTGGGGCATGGTTTAGTGGACATGGTGGTGCTGGGTTGATGGTTGGACTGGTGATCTTAGAGATCCTTTCCAATCTTAATGATTCCTAGTTTTTACTTCCATTAAAAAATAACCCAGCCACCAAGCCAGGAAACATGAAATTATTACACTACCGTTAATTGATTTAGTGGTGGACTTGGTAGTGTTAGGTTAATGGTTGGACTGGGTGATCTGAAAAGTCTTTTCCAACCTAAACGATTCTATGATTCTATGATTAATAGCCCAAAGAGTGTAGAAGGGATGAGAAGAGGGTTAATGAGCAGAGGTACTTTGTTCTAGTTCTTCTCGTATTTATGCACCAGTCAATTCTTCTCTAGAAACCCCCGTTATTCTTTGTAGTCTGGAAAACAAAAAAGATGTGAATTCAGTAGAGAGCCAGAATAAAGCGTGTCTCCATTCCCTGTAAGTGCTCTGAAGAAGGGCTTGTTCCCAGCTGGGCCAGGGGACTGCTCTAACAACCTGTTCCCACCCAGAAAGGTTTATGGACTGCAGTAGCCTCTCTCTTCCTTGCAGTGATTTAAAATACTTCTCCCCACCTTTCTTTCCAGCAGGCCCCACAGTTTACAGTGGCATTTCCACAAAACCATCCCCTGTGCCTGGGAAACGGCTGCTCTTTGTGCCAGACATTATGTCTGGGAGCAAAGAGGTCGTTGCTCATTCCCAAATGTAAAGCTGAGTGCATAGTGCTGCACTGCAGGACTTGCACTTGTAGAGATGGTTTATGTTTGCTGCATTTCCCATTTTCCAGCCAGCTAATTCCTTCAGTGGTTTCCTGCAGTAAGGTTTTGTCTGGGTGAATGGTGATGATCATTTTTTGGATGCAAAGCCCAGCTCCTGCGGGGCTTGAATTTTGCCCGTGGACCTCAGCAGAGTATTTCAGCTCCAAGGCAGCAGCTCCTTCCTTACAATTGTTTGCCTACACCAAAAGTAGCACCAAATATCCTGATTTTAGGCCTCCTCAGATCTCCCAGTTCAACTCCTAATGGTTTAATAAATGAAAGACTCCAATTCCTCTGGCACTCCCTTGCCTTCATGGGAGACGCATCAGGTTACCTCGCAGGCACTAAGCAACTTACGCTGTCGATCCAGTCTATGTAGGCTGACACACGTGTGAAGACGGTTGGCTTCCTGTAGGTGTTACAGTAAGGAACTAGCCCAAAACTGACAATCCCGTGGACTTCCCAGCGATTGTCTTTGTAGCAGCTGAGAGGGCCCCCAGAGTCCCCCTGGATCAGAGGAAGGAGAGGAACATATTAAGTCAAATTATCTGAGCAATTTAGGAATGACTGGATAGGATTAAGGAGTACCAGTTAGTTAATCACTGTCCTGAACATGAAAATAAATGTTTGTGCTGCTTTCTTTGCAAAGGGCTGACTGCTCCTGAGCAGCATGGCAGCAGAGACCCCCCAGCACCTCCCAAAACATTGCAAAGATCAGACCCACTATTTATTATCTCAGTCTATACACACATACACACACGTGCACACACACACACACACACATACACACCCCTGGAAGGGCTGAAACTCTAATTTCCCACTACTATTGCAAATATAGTGACTGTAAGCAACTAGTCCAGTGCACACTGCATGACACGCAATCCTTTCCAGCAAGGTCCACCTGCACAGCATCTGTTAAAAAATCAGCTACAAGGAACCAGGTAGAAGGGAAACGCTGGTCCCCTTGTTCTTCACAAACAAGTTTATTCAAAGGGTCCTGGGAAGTTAAGGTGGTGAAAAAGAAAGCAGCTCGAGTTAAAATATATGAGAAGATAAAGGCTCTTGCTTGGCTCAGATCCCGGTTTGTAACACAGTTCCGCCATAATTAAACCACACCAAAAAATACACTAAATATCTATAGACCTATAATTATACTATACTTACATAGTACTATACAAGTACTTTGTATAATTGCATAACCTGTTTTATTTCTATATGTTTCTATGTTATATTCATGTATTTACATAATCAAATATCTTACATATTTGTTAATTATTTTTTGAAGGCTCTGCATAGTTGCTTTAGCAAGAAGCCACCTCTGTAGTGAAGGAAATACAGGCAGAGGTAACATATCCCCTGCCTTCACACACCAAACCTCCTTGCCTTGACTCTGGGGCCACCTGGAGCCCCTGGGATAAAGGGGACCTCACAGCATCTTCCTTTTCCACCTAACCTGGGCCAGATGGTGCAGCCTGGACACAGCCAAAACTTGCAGCAACCTCAGCTGCCCATATAAGCAGAGCGGCTGGGGAGGAGAAGGGTGACAAGCAGGACAAAAGCATGGGGGAGCACTGTCTGGTCCAGGGTGCAACATGACAGCAACATGGGAGGAGTGGTAGGACTTCCCTGAAGCTTCATCCTTTGGATGAGGGCAGAGGGGACTGCCAAAGTCTCAACCCATTCCCCAGGATCTGGTCAATGGGACATGCTGCTGAAAGGAAGGCAAATCTCCCCTCCAAAATCAGAGGGGAGAGATGCACCCTGAGGATTTGGAGGTTTCCTCTCTGCTGGCTGCTCTGTGGGGAGATGAAGGAATGTGGAGCAGTCTGGTTTAGAAGGTGCAGGTGGAGAAATGGCAAAACCAGGTCCCAATTGAAGGAATAGCAATGGTTACCAACTGAAGGAACAGCAAGGTCAGATAGGAAGGAAAGAGAAAGAAGGGAGCTTGAAAATCCTCTGATAATAACAGGTCTTACACTGCATCCAGACTTCACGCCATCTCCACCTGCACAGATCATAGTGACTTTTGCTAGAGATCCCCACCAGTCTTGCTGGGAGCAGATCTCATGGTCGACCACCGGCAACATCGTCTCCTGCAGTGTGTCCACAGTGCTGCCATCCACTAGCAGAGAAAGGGTGAGATTTTGGTCCAGGAGCTCTAGCGGTTGAGGAAGGAAGCCCACACCCTGCCTTGGGCAGCCTTACCTGCCCTGTGGTCCCTCTGAAACCAGGAGGGACACTCAACACTCCTCCTTCCCCCTTACTCACCACTAACCACCCCCCAGCCAGTAATATAGCAGGGATAGTTATTGGGTAAAATTTCTCCTGCAGGTGGAAGCGCTCCCAGCTCAACGAACCCATTGCCATAGGCAGGAGAATCGAGGCGCAGCAGGGCAATGTCATAGCTGAAACGGGATACAGGTAAAAGACTCTTCACTGAAAATCCTGAATTAGTCATAAACCAGACCTCCTCACTCACATTTCGTCACTTATACAGGTCTCTATAGCCTCTGGCATGATGATAGGCAAGCACCTTGCAAACATCATTAATTATGCCTCATAGCTATCACAGGCGACAGGAAAATCTGAGCAATTAAGAGAGAACAGACCATGGTACAGACTCATAATGGGCTAACACTCCCGCAAAACCTCATACTCCTTTGGAGGCACCCAACCTCAGAGTGAATTTCGGTGGACAGGCATGCCTCTGAGGGGGGATTTAAGACAATCTCTTGACATTTCCTTGTTGGCTTCCCTCCATCAGATGCAAACAGTGGTGTGACTGCTGGCAAGCCCCTGAATCTGCTGTACATCCTGGATCCATCTGTGAGGCCCATCTTTCCCCCACCTTGGGCAAAAGAGGACTGGGGTCATCCACACAGACACCTCCAAGAGAGGAGATCATTTGGGAAATCTCCATTGCATTATCTTCCAGTGCTTCCCACAAATCCAACCTCACTGGGAACTGGACTGAATATACACATAAATGCTAGCAGGACAGGGTGCTAAATATCATTCAACCATCTGATGATATTCAAAATAATTACCCATTGGCAATATCAGAGGGATTCCAGCCATCATGAATGAAGACTCTCTCCACATCGATATAGTACTCGGTGCCATCCACTGTCGAGAGATTGTGCTCACCCAGAGCCACTCGGTAGCTTGCTCCCGGTGGCCTGAAAATGAATCACAGAATAATTAATGTAAAAACCACTAGCTTTGCAGTGTAATTCCTGCACCACTGAGACCTTCCACCAATGTAATAATTTCTAAAGCACCTTCCACCAGAGGATTTTCAATGGACTGTAGCTAAACGGTCTTATGAATTAGGCAAATGCTGCCTGCAGTTTGCTGGCGAAGCAAGTGAAGGTGCAGCATCAGCTAATACAGTGCTGAGCTCGGTCTTGAACGAGAACGTTCATTTTGTATCTCTGCATCGATCTGAAACACGGTGTGAAGGATCAGCTCGTTACACTTTATTGTAAGTACATTCATTAAAGGCATGAGTAATTAAAGAGGAGTGTTCGCTTATTGGTGTCACGCTGTATCATTTAGGCGGTGCCTGTTAGACATGCTGCAGAGCAAATTGTACAACACAGCCCATGAGCTACAAAACATGCCTCTCGTTCAATCTTTCCATCTCTGTGCAGGTTTCTCAGGATGCAAACCTATTCAAAATGCTCACATTCATGCAAATGCACCACCTCTTATGCAAATCAGCAATCAGTTTGATATCCACTTCCAGGAAGTCAGCAGTTAATGTGTAAAATCAAGGCTAAAGCAGAGTTTTCCAGTTCCCTTGATGAAGTGTGCAGAGAGATGTCCAGATGTGCAAGGAATGGCACCAGTGGGGAGCTCAGAGGGTGAGAAGTGTCTGGCTCCTGTCTGCAGCAAGAATGAGGACCTGAACAGGAGTTTTAATGTTTTTTATCCTACTCACATGCTGAGGCAATGGGCTGCAGTCATGACCCATTTGCTGCTGATAAGGGTTCCACCGCAGATGTGAGAGTAGTACCTCGGGTACTCAGCATAGGCAATCTGAAGTGATACCTGTATCAAACAACAACATATTTTACACCCAAGCCATGCTGTACCTCTGCAGAAACAGTGTGTGTGGCTTTGGACAGTAGAAGCTGTCATTTTCTTACTGTTTTTTCAAGTATATGGCTTTTTTCAATTATAAGACACCAGCATTACTTGCCACTTCCAGGTGTTTGGTTGGGCTTCGTGGCCTCCAATTACTCACCCTGTCAGCACAGCCTCCTGAAGAGCATCCTTTAGGGGACTTCCAGAGATTGCCCCTAACCACACAAAAAACGGAGTGCAATTTGTCATATGGAATCCTAATGAGCACCAGTCATCACAGGCTACTGCCAGCGACAAACTTGTGCTGCACAGGGCAGCCAGCGCAGCAAGTCTGAAAGACCAAGTGATTGAGACTTGCACATGGTGACACTGTGATCGCTCTCCACCCTGGAGGCTGTCTTTAAAGCCTCCATGGTTGAAAAATACCATAAACAGGCTTCAAGATGCAAAGCTCTCATATAAATTGATTTCCCTTTCCCATAGTCCCAACAATCCCACCATAGCTGCCAGGTGGTTGTGCACCAACCTAAATCCCCCTTTTTTGGGGGTGTAGGTTTCCCCTCCCCTCCCTCAGAGCACCACCAGGTCTTTCTCATGGAGATCTTGTTCCCACAATAGAGAAAAACCCTTCCAGATAGACTAGTTAGGTTTTGCCCTAGTACAGTAACTGCAGAGAAAAACAATGATGCACTCTAATCTGCACCACCAGTCAGAGGATGCGAGGTTCACCCTTTCCCAGCTCAAATGCTTCAATTGCAACTTACCCAGGCAACTAAGAAGAACTAAATACTGGAACATCTTTAATGAAGTGGTAGCATTTATCCAAGAAAAATTCTTTTTATACTACAATATCGGATAAGAAGCTGTGTCTAAATTTGTGATTAATACAATTTATCTATACTCATAGCTCATTAAAGTGATAAAAAATGTTCTCTACATGGAAAAAAAGGGGGAGCAGCGACCTGTTCAAGGTAGAGCCCAAGGTTACACAAACACCTCCACACCACACATTTCCCACAGAGAGATGAAGCAGAAAAAAACCTGGTAAATTCAGAGACCTCTCAGATCAATTCAAAAGCAAAACAATGCAAACCCAAGCTCAACAAGCCAACACTTCAGACTAGTAATTGTTGATGCACATACTGTATTCCCTTGTTAGAAATTTCTGTCAGTCCAGCTGTCTGCTACTCCATGTAACATGAACTGATCTTTGTCAGCTAGATAAAAAGAGCAACAGCAAACAGGGAGAAGCACTGAGGGTGGTTCAACCTTGGCTGAACATGTTAAACCAACCTTGGCTGGACGTGCTGATCCTTTTTTAGGATCCTTTTTTAGGATCCTTTTCTGCTCCTTCTTCCCTGCTGAATGAGTTTTCCTCTGCCTTCCCCAAAATGCTGGGTCTCAGTGGCAGGATGGGAGGTAGGGAGCTGGTCTATGGCCAGTGGGGAAAAAAGGGAATGGTGCAGGTGGCAAAGGCATGTGCTATGTCTGAGGAATGGAAAAGGTCCCAGAATCACAGAATGGCTGAGGTTGGAAGGGACCTCTGGAGATCATCTAGTCTAATGCCCTTCCTCAAGCAGGGCTACCTAGAGCTGGTTGCCCAGGCCCGTGGCTAGACAGCTTTTGAATATCTCCAAGGATTGAGATTCCACAGCCTCCCTGGGCAACCCGGGCCAGAGCTCAGGCGCCCTCACAGTAGAAGAGTGTTTCCTGCTGTTCAGAGGGAACCTCCTGTGTTTCAGTTTGTGCCCATGGCCTCTGGTCTTGCCACTGGGCACCACTGAAAAGAGCCTGGCTCCATCCTCTTTGCACCCTCCCTTCAGGTGTTTCAATACATTGATGAGATCCCCCCTGAGCCTTCTCTTCTCCAGCCTGAACCGTCCCAGCTCTCTCAGCCTTTCCTCATGGGAGAGGTGCTCCAGTCCCTTCATCATCTTTGTGGCCCTTTGCTGGACTGTCTCCAGTATGTCCATGTCTCTCCTGTACTGGGGAGCCCAGAACTGGATGTAGGACTCCAGGTGTGGCCTCACCAGTGCTGAGCAGAGGGGAAGGATCACCTCCCTCGACCTGCTGGCCGTGCTTTGCCTAATGCAGCCCATGATACCGTTTGCCGCCTTTGCTGCAAGGGCACACTGCTGGCTCATATTCAACTTGGTGTCTGCCAGGACCCCCAGATCCTCTTCTGCCACGCTTCTTTCCAGCAGCTTGGGACAGGCAGTAGGTAGGGGAAGCACCAGGCAATATTGCCAAGACCTGCATCCCATCTTTGACAGTGGCCTTCACGTAGCACTTCAGAAGAAAATGTAGAAGCCTTTGTAATGGATAACCTTGTTTTAGGGGGAAGTATGTTTTGCTTTTTTATATCTCCATTAACTGCAGTCCCCTAATCATTTTATACCTGTGGAGCATGATGATTTATATCCCTTTAATTGTTTAAGGCATCTATCTAGGAGCAGAGCAGATGTACAGATTCTTCAGTTAAATGTAAAATACAGCCCTGCTTTACATATCTAGTGAGGAAGAAAACAAGAAATGCTTTTAGCTGGTGGAAACCCAGAGACTTGTTTCCATGATCAGAAGAAATCCCCTTGGGACACACAGGCTGTCAACAGGTGGGCAGTAACGCTCACCTTGAACTTTAACTGCATCCAGAGACCAGCTGTCAAGTGAAAAAGGAAGAGTTAAGGAAACAAACTGGAGAAGATAGCAAGGCTCATCCACCCAGGTTTGCTAATGGGATCCACTGTCCATGGAATGAATACGGTAGGACCAGGACCTTTTCCATATCATCCCAACAGTCCTCTTTAACAGATCCTTTCTATTTTATTGGAAGCCATAAAAAGTTCAGTTTGCTATTTCAGCACTGAGACCGTCTTTAAGTCATTGAACACTTTTTCCCCTTACATCATAGATCATTTTTAGCTTCCAGTTAGTTTTGGCTAGGAGGTCAGAAAGTGGCCTCCTAGCCAAACAGTCTCTTCACTCACTTTCACTACATTCATCATCCCTGTTAGAGCTGGCAAACTCACTCATTTTCTATTGCTAATTTATTTTTCCAAAGACTTTATGTGTTCACTACATACAATTTTGTTGAAGAACATTGTTGTCTGTTTATTCTCCTTTTGGACATCATGTCGTTTAGCTTAAGTAATTGTTTGTCCATAATCTGTACTCTACAGCAATGCGCATGGTATCATACTCATTTTGCAGCTCAGTGGCTTTGATGTTGGGCTGTGTTGCAATGCCCAAAGGAGAAATAAGTTACGCTGAGGATGATGAATTACAGCTGTTTTCAGAATTCCTCCACTTCAGACATTGTTTTAGCATAGAGCTCTTGAGGGACTGTCTGTGTTTTGCTCTGGGCTCTACATACATGGTTTGTGGAAGAGGTGAACCTACAGAACATATGTGAATGGAGAGAGGGGAGTTTGAGCATCGGGACTGGGAAGCTGTTCCATGTACAAGCACTTGCCAAGGTGAAAAAACTTGAATTTATGAGTTAGGACTTTAATTATAAGGGAAGGAAATGAAAAAACATGGAGATTGGTGTTAATGGCAACGAGAAGGCTGATTAGTTTTTGGTATCTCAGCATTACCATGGAGTTCCAATTGTGAAGCCTGGCTTGAGATGCCGAAGTCTAGAGCTGTCATCCAAAACACATCTCACCTACTGCTGAATCTCAGAGGCCCATAACCCTCCAGGGGCTATGAAATCTGTTTCAGAACATGCACAGTCCAGGAATGGAGTCCAGGACTCTTCCTCTCTGAAGGACCATCTCAAGCCAGAGCCATCTCAGGGTTTCTTACAAGTGTAGGCAAAAATGAATTTCTGTGCTCCAGGTCTTTACCAGTAAACCAAATGGATTATCTTTCACATCACAAAACCAACTCAAGTGGCCCTGTTTGTGTCTACATGGCAAAACTCTTTTATACTCTAAACCAGAGAGGTCTTATCCATGCTGCCTATGGAGCATGGTCTCTCATCCATGCTAACTTTCCAAACCATGCGTAAGAGTTGCTATGGGGAGCATGGGCTGGTGCAAACCAGTGTTATGCTAGACTGTGCTAACATTTAACTGTACAGAAAAAGCAGGACAACATCTGAGTTGGTGCTCTAGCACTGTTTAGTTAATTGGTGCTCAAATATTGTTTAATTAGTGATCTAGCACTGTTTAGTTAATTAGCATATAGCCTTTTTTTCCTTATTCTCAGAGCATCAAAATTAAGTATTTTGATGACAGCAGAATTTTCTGGGTGAGTAGATTATTTCAGGAGTGATGGGATGGATAAGGGAGGTTGTGAAAGATAGGACGGATGGTAGGGAAAGATTCCGGGACTATACAAATAAAGAGATTTGGGTGGACTTGATGAAATCCATTACGAGCTACTGAGCACAAAGTTGAGGATATAGTCATCTGTCAGGGAAGTCCTAAAGCACAAACTGACTTCCAGACATTGGAAAGGTTTACTGTGCATGTTTATTGTGCAGCTTTATGTTTGCTCTGCTCTTACAGGCTTTTTCTAAGCATCTGCTATCACCCATTGTCACTAGGATATTGGCTAGATGGATCTTTGGCCTGACACAGTTCAGCCTTACATATATCTTTATTTATTGACTATGTTTCTAGAAATGAAAGCCTCAGATTTATTTTTGCAGAGCAAACGCCAAGGCTTCCTTTCTTCTTTATAGCAGCAATTTAACATAACATCTCTATTCAGGATAATATTAAGCACATTGTTAACTTAAGTATGTGCTAATGTAAAGCACATGCTCCTCTTCTCAACAGAGATAGTTTTAAATGTATTAAGCAGGACTAGAGAAGACTCCTTCCAATGCACACAGAGTATTTAATTTTTCATTATTTTTTTAATCTGTATTCCTTCTCTTCCATACTGAGTTTGAGTTGATCAACACACTAATAAACCCATAAATATTCCTAGCTTATCATCATTTGGCAACAAGTTAGGACAACATGAGGAGAAACCCTTTTATTACTTAATTTAAAAAGTCTATGGATACACTGTCCTGAAGACTGACAAAACCTTGCTCTAACATACAGTTCTTAACAAATATACTACAGTAGCCTTAATAATCAATAAATGAGGATAAAGGAAGAAATTACTTCACTTTTTCCTCCTCTTTCTATTGCCACAGGATGAAGCCTTTATTTCAGTACGAATACTGTTGAGCTGGGAAAAGGGATGCTTGATATGAAATGGCTAATTTGTCAGACCACACTGTTAATCTCTGTATCTGGAAGCACATCTTTGAAGGTTTGCCTAAAATATATCTGACAAAAAGAAATTCTTAGCAAGAAGGAAACATAAAATAAGTAAGTAAGAAAACTTTACATTTCAACATTGGAAATTGTAAAATGACATGAGGCAATGCCTGCATATTCACTTTAATAAT